AAAATTTATAAAGGCAATTAAGTAAGCTCAAAAATTATACAAAATAAAAAAATAAAATTACTGGTAAAGTAAAATAAATTACCTTTATCCTTATCTATTCATATATCTAAGTAATTTTTTTTTCATTCTAACGCGTACAGACACAATAAAATTTTATAAAACCTACACACATATTTGAATTGTACATACATATTCAAATAAGTCACTGGACAAGTTTATAAATTTGACATTTTACGTATGAAAAATTTACCATAAAAAGTATAGTAAAGAAAAAACTTATTTAAATACCATCAGAAAAGTCCTTGACACTTTTTCATGTTATTGCTCTTTAAAATAGTGTATTAAGCAATTTTTAATTATGTTTATCATATAGAACAATAGTAACGTATACGTGCTTACATATTTGTGAAAGAGCAGTGTATAAATAAGTACTTAAAATTATAACAATAATTTAGAAAATGAAAACAAAATTTTTGATTATAAAAAAAATGATATATATAAAAGTCAAGGTTTTGACATCTTGTCATTTAAATTAAAATTACCATATGGTATCAATTGTATAAGATAATGACTGTTATTATTATTATTATTATTATAAAAGTTAACAAGTATAACCAATTAAAATCTATATAATGCATTAGTTATAAGAATGGTAAACAAGGCTATGAGAATAGATTGAAATAGGAAAATATACTTAATGTAGTATAACAAATTATTGATTAGTCTCAATTTATTAAACAATTTATGTACAGTGTTGTTAAAATTGTGTTTTTTAGTTAATGGCAGTTGTTTGCATAGCAACTAAAACAAGAAATCATAAAATTTTGAGTACATAAGTATCTGTTTGTGTTTTTATATTACACTAACAATTCCTTCTGAAATTTATATGATAAAAATGCATATTCGTTAGTCGCATTCATTCGCTTTAGTTTTTATTTTTTTTTAATTGTTTGTAGAAATTGGAACAAGAACTTAATATTACAAAACTAAAAGTTCATAAAATCTTAAACAATTGGTTTTTTTCGTGCAAATTTTAAAAATCAATCAAAATTATCTCTTTATTTAAAAGGAAAGTTTTAGGCTATTAATATAATCAGAATGCGAACAAGCACTTAATTTTGAAAGCTAAAAAATTGCCCTTCAAGTAGGGGTGTACGAAATAAAGTTGAATATTCAAAGTAGCATTTGTAAATTTTTTAATTTAATTTTTTTTTAATTTGAATCTGCTGCCTGTCCAAACATATACAATTTGGCAACACAGTTTAAAATTCTTGTCTCTTATTTATACAAAATTTTGAAAATGTTGAATTTTGAAGTGCTATTTTTCATGATCGCGATATAGAGGTTTATTGAAAACGAACTAAAAAATCGCCTACTTAATAATTTTTTAAAAGCCATTTCCATTAAAAAAATTAATTCTATAAATTATATCCGAATATTTTAATAAAGCCAATTATTTTAACAAATTACTTATGTACACTTACTTACATACACATTAAATAAATTCGAAAATTGATCTACTGTAAAATTTTTTATTTGATTAAGTGGCAATTTATTACATGAAATTATCAACATAGAATGACTAAGTATAATCGATAAAAGGATAACAAATATTTAAATTGTAATAGCAATAAGAAATGAGCATAAGTTTGATACGTTCAACTATAAGGTAATCGTATAAATTTTCAAAATTATAACTGCTAAATTACCGGTTTTTAAAGTCGATCACCCAAAATCAAATTCACAACATCAAATTCAACTCATTTTTAAATACTAAAACATTTGAGTGTCATTAATTAGTTCAAAACTGAAACATTAGACTAGAATAGACGACCATTGACTAAAAAGTTTTAAAAAATTTTGAAGATTTCAAAATTGAACTGTTTTGTTAAGGGTTCAGACATTTGATATAATATCGTTGTAAGTAGTATGCAATAATTTATATATATATACTTATATAACTCAGTGCTTATGTGGGTTTTATTGGTCTCATTTTATTGGTTTGTAAATCGAATAAGAAATTTATAATACTTAATATTACTTTATAGTACTTAATTCAAATTGAAAATTCAATTTGCGCGGGTGTAAAAATTTAAGTGTCAAGTAAATTTATTCGACAAGGTCATGATCTCTTGTAAGCAGAAATGACAATTAACTTACTCATTTTATAAAATGACGTCATAACATTTAACTTTAATAAATTTCTCTTTTTTTTTGTTATAAATTATTTCTTTTTGCTTAATGAACATACATAACAGTGAAATCCCTTTTTAAATCATTAATGTTTGAACATTGCATGATATACTGATAGTTTAAATACTTACAGTACTTTTCAAAAATATTATTCTCGGAAAAAAATAAAATGGATGAAACTATGATGTCAAATTTAAGTACATTTTTTAAGTTCTCTTAGACTTTAAAATTTAATTTACAATTAAGTACAGTAACAAATTACAATTTTAACGGGCTGGCAAGCATAAACAAAATTAAATATAATAAAAAAAACAATGCTTATATAAGTAAACTTTGTGGAAAATTATAATATAAAGTCCACTTTTAATGCTAGTATAGTATACTTCGAACAATAAATATAGAACCAAGAGATCCTTGGAAACTTTTATTATGCAAAATTAAATTTTCTGAAATTTTTTTTTTTCGTGTTAAAAATGGATATTAAAAAAAGTAGGTTAGTAGAACAACTTTTTAGATGAAATTTTAGGAAAATATCTTATATTTATTTCTTGTTCAACAAAATTCTTGTTCTCTATATCAGTAAATAGGGTGGTAAGGAGGGAGTTTATGTTTGCATAAATCAATTAATAAAAGTGTTACGCAAGGCAGCTCAAATTATTTGCGTAGAAGTAGTTTATATATGTGGGAATATTAAACAGAATTCTGAATATTTCTGATTGAAATAAACAGAACCACCGGTATATTTAATTGAATACGATGTAATAACGCAAAACACACGCCTAATTTTGTTACAAATTAATTTCAATCACAATAATTAATTTTGAATTTTAAAAAACCTGTCTTAAAACTTCGCATTTTAAATCTGAAAAAACGGACCTTGAGCTTTAGGAACGACCCTTTATGATTATTAAAATATTCAAATACAAAATTTCAAATATGCAACCAAAATTTACCCATGTAAAAATTAAAAAATAATTGCATTCCGATTCCAATTTTAAAATATTCTACATTATAAGTGATAAGATTATAAATGATTATATCCATATGTGTGGATAAAAGAAAAATAAACTAATTCCTTGGGATTTAAAAATTTAACAGTATAAGTATAGCTAAATAAATTGTAAGTACGAAATTTCTGAAACCGAACACTTTTGATTTCACTAGAAAAAAGCTGTACTTAATCAGATTAAAAAATAGTTAACAAGTAAATTTTGTTGAATTTCCAAAATAATAATTAATTATAATCGATACTGAAAATACTTAGTGAATACTTAATAATAATATTTCCATATATATAAAATACCTAGCAAAACAAATTTTAATCCAATTTTAAATTTGCTCATTTGGAAATACTTAAGTACACATGTGAAAATTTCCACCCATAGGTTTTTTTGATGAAAATAAAATTACATTTAGCACGTATTTATTTTAGTTTGAAACTAATTATGAGAACAAAGCGTTTTTACTGGAAATATTAGAGTTTGTTAAGTACGTGAATACAATAAATACATTTATACATAAGTAGACATTATATGTAAAAATATATTACTTACTCATATTTGAAATAACTCATATTTTTTATCTAAAAACTCAATTTTCTGGAACGTATTATAGATACGAAGATTCGAAAATTTTAAAATTCACCTTTTTTGTAAAATCAAACTCACTTACTTACTTATTTTTTAATCTGAGTAATTCTTAATCATTCTTTGCATAACTATCAATATATTACACTTAAATCGAGCTTACGCTTTGATTTTTCACGATAATAAGTAAATAGGTGCCTATAACAAACAATTATCACGATTCTTGATATTTTGAGTCATAATTTTCGCTTGTAGTACACCGATAAAATTTATGTATGTGCGGTGACATATGTAAGTATAACAATTATTTCCATAAATTAACGCAAATGGAAATAATACAAATAAATAAAATGACAAAAGAATGATAAGATATTATAGAACAAATTAAATGACTATTTAATTGAAATCACACTTAAATAAAATGTTTGAACTACTTATATTAAATATGGGGGGGGTATAATAACAAAAACATTTACAATTTAACTTGTTTCTTTACTGCAAAAATCTATTTCAGGATTTTCCTTTAAACTTAACTTACATTTTTGTCTTTTCTATTGTTACACAAAACTTAAAATTCTATATTTCTATATAAGTAGTATTTTCCAAAATTTTTTAGGGTGGCTTTAATATGATGAATAGGATTGGTAATCTAGGATCAGAATTAAAATATTATACCCTAACCAGATAAATTCGATCAAATTGAATATAAATTTCGGGTTGAAAAAATTAAGTATTAGTTTTCTTAGCCCTTAAAGTATCGATGGCTTAAAGGGGAAAGCCTGTATCCTACATTTTAAATAATTTCGAAAAAATTTCAAAATACTGTAGTTGACTATACTATTAATTAAAAATAAAATGACTTTGCATTTACAAGCAAATTGTAAAATAAAAGAAAAATATGTAGTTTATTTCCCAAAATAATGTAATACAATTATTAGTGACAAGGATCTGGTACGCTTTTTCTATAAATTCCAAAATTTTAATTTTAAATGCAATTAAATTTTTGTTTTTATTTTTGATAAGTAAAGGGTTTTCGCCATAATCCCTAGGCATATAAGTAATGAGTAAATAAGTAAATTGTTCGTGGTCGTATTTTAATTTTACTTTTTGTGGTTGTATTGTATATAGTTTAAAATGCCTAGTATGTCGTAGGAAATTTAAAAGAATAACAGAATATCTTGGGCCATCGTATGACATGTCTTACAGAACGAGGGTACTTACATTAATATTTATTTATTGTCTTATTTACCTCCGTACTAGAACATAATAAATAAGTTACCGTCCCTCTATGTGTCTGTTTACAAAACTTCTATGCCCTTTGAGACAAAAAGCTGAAATATAAATAAGTCTTTCCTTGAAACCTATATCCGTAAAAGAAAACTATCAACTACCTCACCCTCTAAAAGTTATAGTCTCTCAAAGTCCTAAGTATGTCATTTTTGACTACTTATTATTGATTGCCTAATTCTGCGAACGCAAAAAAGTAGTGGCGTATTTCTTCCATTGCATTATAACATATTTGGACTTCAAAATAAAAAATTGCTGTTAAAATAACTATTACCTAAAATACGTTTTTTATAAATTTGTAATATCGTTTTTCTCTAGAAGTCTAGACCAAAAGTTTACAGGTTGTAAATTGTTAAATTTATTGGTATCTAAATTAAAATTTCGTTTAAAGAAAAGTTTTTTCCATCTCCATCATCTCCTAAGCTATTATGCCTCTCGAAATCTATATTATTTGAATTCTCGTCACCTTAAATTTCGCACACTGCAAGCTTTTCTATAAATGTAGAAAGCTAACGGTAAATGCTATGACACCAAAAAATAAAATTATTTGTCTTATAACTTTTTACAATTTTTTTCTATCTCATCAAAATTTTCACTTTTAAAGGGAAAAGTGCTCCTTTACAAATCATTGGTTTGACCCAGCTTTATTAAATAATAATTTTATTGTCAACAACAATAAATAAGTGTGTACACGGTTTATGTAAATCTTATGTTTTGTATCTTTAAATTTTTTATGTAAATAAATTTTGTTTCAAATATTTTAATGTGTAACAATAAATACACTCAAACTAATAGTTACTTATTCTCATAATTCAAAAATTTTGATTAAGTTTAAATAAATATCTTAAATTAAATAAAACATTTTTTTTTATTTGAAACAATAAATTTGGACTCATTATTAAATTACTGAGTAAGCTGTAAGATAATATTTTATTTTAGTTATGAGAAGGTCAAATTAATAACAATTTATTGCTTAATAATGAAAAATTTTCTGTCTGCACATACTTATATACTTACGTATGTATATGCAAATACTTTTACTTATGTATTTGCACGATTCATAATAAAATGTTACGCGTATAATAAAAGTTATAATACACCAAGACCTAAATTTACGTTCACAGACATGTTTTGAAAAAAACACAGCACAATTTTTGCAACTCAAATTTCTATATTTAAAAAAATTTCTATGTTTAAAAACCTTGTATTTCAAAAATTATATACTTATATATAAGTATATCGATTTAATTCTATATAGAAGAGTGGTGAAGGGGTAAACTTACTCCGAATAAGATAATTAAATAGTGACACATTATTCAATACCCATGATTCCCGGCAAAAATGTATATATGTAAGTACTTCATACTAAATTCTCCTAACTTCCCAAATAATATTACTAAATTTACTAAATATATTCTCGAAAAATTAACCTATTCATCGTATTAAAAAAGACCAACAATGAATTATAATGGTAAACTTTCATTAAAACCGTAGAAATTCAGAAGCAAGAGTGTCTAGACAGTATAACATCTTGTTAAAAATAGTTTATTATCTTCTCTAATATAATAAAGAACTAAAATTTGCGTTAAAAGCTCCACGTACTTACTTATATTTGAAATTTAATGCGATGATTATAAAATATTTCCCTTGTTGTAGGCAATGAGGTTGGTGTAAAAGTAAGTTTAAGAATAGTTGATTAAGTAAAAAACATATATGAAAGACTGAAATGATACTCTTTTACAATTGATTAGCAAAAAAGGCTTTTTTGAACTGAAAAAAATTGCGTTCTTATATAAAATCAAGAACGACGTAACATCGGAAAAAAGTAAAGTAGAGTGAATCAAAGAAACCTGGGTGTAATGACATAACGGAAAAGTTATTAAATTTGAATTCCAAAGATTACTTTTATGTGCAAAAAAATTAAATTGCTTAAAACTTCAAATAAATAGGCAGAACCAATATTTCTAAGAAAATTTAAAACTTTATACTTTTACATAAAGACTATAACAGAATCATATTTCATATTTAAATATGTATATTTAACTAAGGTATGTATAAAATATTATCAATAAGTACTTATCTATGTACTTATTTTAATAAGAATAAATTCGCTAAAATAAATTATGTTCTTATTATGTAAGAAAGTATATGAAATATTGCACTGGTTAAAGTATCCAATATCATAGTCGTGCCAATGAAAGATAAAAATTGAAATTTAACATTGTTTCCTTATCTTTCATAAACATAAAAAACATTAAAGATGGTAAGCAATTAACTAAAAATTCTTGTTTACTCTGTTCAGTCTTAAATTTTAATAGATAACAATTTTACCAAATATTGTCTTATATAAGTATGTATATGAAATTGTAATTATCTTATTAGATTGTGTGGGTTTAAAATTAGAATACACCCTTACATATAATAAGTAAGTGTTGGTATTCGTAATTTATTGCCTATGAAATACCAATTTAATTTCATATTGGAAGCACCTGTATGTCTAGAAGACATACACAGTAATCATATCATTTTAATTCAATTTTTTTTTATATAATTTTTAAAGCCATTGAACCTTTTTAAAGAGAAATGATAAAAAGAAATTAAACAGGAAATTTTAAATTTCATAATGTTAAAATATATTAAATGCAGTTCCTGGATTGAATAAAAATATATTTTTAATTTTTATTAATAAGTAATATTATTTTGTAAAGAAAAAAAAACTATTTTCGAACGTGTATTCAAGTAAAATAGGTGAGATATACTCAATAAGTTAATTCAAATCAAATTCATACTTAATTTCGAGAAAATAAAGGGAAATTCCCCTTAAAAGTTCATGTAAAACAAAAATATTTAAAAAAAGTAAACGTTTTAGAATATTTTAATTTTGCAGAAAAAAATGTGACAGAACTTTATTTTCCAAAACAATTTTTTAAACCACTTATAAGATTTTCACCTTGATGTTTTGACTTTAAGTGAAAACTTAATTTTAATGGTTTTTTAGCAGTTGAATTGCTCTTCCGTGTTAAGTACGACAGATCATATTTCGAAAAATGCATATACATTCTTAAGTATGTTTATTACTAAAAAAAACGTAACTAACTAAACAAAGTTCTGTAAAAATTAATAGCATAAGAACATAAGAATATGCAAACAATCGTAAAAACATAAAATATTTTTATTTGATCACTTTGTCACTTTAATGTTCTTATAATATTTTATTCGATTGTTATATTAAGTAGATTTTTACTAAATAAAGAATTAAATATTACGTTCGGGCTCTTAAGGAAACAGTTTCCCTTCAAATCATTACTTTAGTCATACAAAATTAATCAGAACGTATGATAAGTAATCAGATTTTTCACAAAATTTCTGCTTTTCGTTATAATTTCACAAAAGTTTAATAAGAATTAGAAATTTTGGTAATTTTGAGTTATTTATAATAATTTTGAAAATTTAATTTTCATTTGATTTTGTCGCCTCCAATGCCAAATTAATTGTGATACATTAAATTTTTTAAACTTTCAACTTATGTCATAAGTACGTATACAACTTATATACATATGAAAAAAAAATTAAACATTTCTTATTAAAAAACTTTTAGGATGATTTAATACTCTTAAGCAGCGTTCTTTTAGAAAACTATATTCTAGTATAGTTGTCTATTGTATAGAAATGCACAAAACTCAATTCTTCGATTTCAAAATTGAAACCAAAAACAATTTAAAATATGAATAAATTCATGGTTTTAAGAATAAATTACAAACAAAAAATTGTAAAAAATAAACAAGTAAATTAAATATGTAAACTAAGTGTTTTTAAAATAAAATTGAAAATTGTACAAAAGTTTATAGGTTCTGTGATGAAAAATGAAAACCTTTTAGAATAATTTAATTAACAATAGCTGTTTATTTACATATACAAAAATAAATGTAAAACTAAAAAAAGTAAATAATTTTGTTAAGCAAGGTATTTTTGTATAGCAAGTATATAGTAAAAATTCATCTTACCTTTTTTATTTGTTTTTAGATTGAATGTTGACAAATTTTTTTAATTAAATTTAATTATAAATCAATGCCTAAACAATTAGCAAATCCTTTTCGTTTTAATTTTTTTATTATTTTTTATTCGTACATAAATAAACGCTCATTTGTTTTTTAAAACAAAACTTTTTTTGTTTTTCTCATTATTTTCTCATTTATTTAAATACTTATATGATAAATCGCTCTCTTTAAATCTTTGTCGTCAATATTTATACTTTGTAAATAAACACCTTAATTTTCAAAAACAAAAAAAAAATATTTTATAACTTTTAAAATTAATGTTGATTAAAAAAAATAAGGGTGCCCGCCTACATTTTGCATATGGGTACTTCTTTTAACTTTCTTAAAATTATAGGAATATTAGAATGTTAGACTGTATGTAAATTACTTGCCACATACCTAATTTTCGTTTTGTTTTCAATTTAAAAATAAGTAAATAAAACAATTTTCTAACATTTGCAAAATATTAAAGTGTTCTAATAAAGTTGAAAGAAATTTATACATATTACATAAATGTTGTTGAAATCAAAACTCGCTTAGAAGCAACTTAAATTATAACCCTATTTTTTATAAATCTTGTGCATTTATCCGTATCTGACTGTACTTACTTGCTAAAAAATAAAATATGTATACTATCGAAAACATTTACTAAATATAATATCACATCACAAGATGATTAATCTGTACTTAAATGTTTAATTTACATACACTTGTTATTCAAATATTCTGTAGGTATTATTCTAGGTATATACGGTACTTATACTTAGATTCACAAGTTTAAAAGATATTTTGTTATGAAAACAATGAAAAGACTGATTAGGTCAGGTGTACCCAATTTTTAATATTTTTTTTTAAATTTTGTACCTTTTCTTTTTATTGCTTCTTTATTTTCGATTTAATATTCTAGACAATTACTTATAAATTCTAAACATAAATTAAAATTATGTTGTCTGTCATTTACTTATTTTTTTGTTTTTGGAAATTTTCAAAATACTTGCTGAATGTAAAATGGCAATGAATATAAGTAGACAAGATAGTTATGTGTACCTTTACCATATTTGAAAAGGTATTTTTTTAGTTGTATTTTGATTTATATACATAACTATATATTTGACTGAATAAAAGAACTTTCAAGTGTACATACGTATGATGAATTTGATTTTTGAAATCAAAATTTGGCAAAAATGCGACTTTTGAAATTCTTTTATAATTTAAATTCTATTAAGTTTCTTCTAATAATTATGCATTATTACTAAGTTATTTACGATAATCAAACTAATAATGAAACAAATCTAGTTATCCGAATTAAATTACGATATTTTTAAATTAGGTAGCTAGGTATGATATACCTATGTATATGTTTCATATTACTTTTAAGGTAGCTGATTGTCTAGTTTTTTTTTATAATTGTTTAAATACGTAAATTTTTGTTTTTTATAGGTAAGTAGGTATACAAACTGAGAAAATATAAAATATGTATGTATGTACTTATATAAGTTATATATACAATCTAGTTAACTATGGCTTAGGTTTTATGTGGGTTAGTAATTTGCCTACTTGGCTTTCTTAAGCGTAAATAAAGAAGAACATAGGTAGGTACAATTTAATTAACTAAAACCTAACCTGGTATTAATTTTTTACTCAAAATATAAGTAGTAGGCAGTTTAGCGATATAACTAGTTACCTAGTATAGATTAATATTGATAATAATAATGAAATAACTTAAATAACATTTGTGATCAAAACTCAATAACCCCATTTTTTGTCAATTTTAGTTAATTTATAGTAAATCTAAAACTTTGAAAATTTTGGGTGACTAGCTTGGTAAAGCTTGAATAAGTAGGTATAATTTCACAATGCTACTTCAAAACTTTAAATTGCGTTACTTGTTGGAAAATTGAAATTTTCACAACACAGAAAGTAACCTGTTTAGGCCTAGCTTATACCTCTAAAAATAAGTAAGTTTTGCCAAAATCAATTATTTATCAATTAAACCATATTAAAGTTAATTAAAACTTTTATATTATTTATTGTAATTCAATTTTTTTGTCACGAAAAAAATTAAATTCTTGGTACATATGTATTTGTTAAGTAATGTAAACTTACATACAAGCATATAAATTTGTATTATTATAATAACAATTTGTCGAATGAGAGCAGTTTGAATAACTATTATTAATGTGCTTAGTTTTATAATTAATATTAAGTACCTACATTACTATTCATGCTTTCATGAATATTCAAAAATATATGTAATAAAACATTATCACCATTCGCATCGATTTCCAACATTATTTTGGTTAATTTAAATTTTGTGCATAAAACATCATAAGTACCTATGTACCTAGCAACCTAATATTTAAACATGAAAGGGAAAAATTCTTATAAGAACAATAACAAAAAAAAAACAAGGAAAATTTAAGAATAAAGTGTGTGTGTATGTATGTGGGAACCTATATATTTTGTCTTTATATGCAACAAAACAACGAAACGAAGTCTGATCTAAAAGAACTAGGACACCAAAAAGAACAAAAAAAACCCGAAGAAAACTACAAAAAAACAATATAAAAAATCGCAGCAGCACACAACAAAACGATTTAATAAAAAATTTTATTTTATACTTCTTTTATTTTATTTTTTTTTCTTTGATTCCCTGGATAAGTATGTAGATATATACAATTTTCGCTTTTTATTATATTATTATTATAATTGTATACAGAGTCATCATGTATATGTATCTACCTACCTACCTAGTTATCCATTCACATTACTTGTATTCACAATATTGAATTTGATTTTATTTTTAATTTGCAAAGGTTTATACATATTTAAATAGCTGCCTAGTTAGGTCTATTTCAAATAAAATTAAGCATTTTATTCAACTAGATAAAAGTACCTACATAGGTGTACATTAAAGATTACAATATCTGCTTCAGAATTTTTTTTTGTTCCTATTCTTAAACACATACAACTATTGTGTATGCCTACGTACTTACTATAATTTACTTTTTAAAAATATTTATTTGATATTAAAGTAAACTAGATTTTTTTTTCATTTACAAAACTTTCGTACTCATAATTATTTCCAATATGTACATATTGAATTTTTAATAAAATAAAAATATTACTTTAATTAACTTAGTTTGACTAAATTATACAAAAAAATTTCACCTTTTACACTTTTGTAAATATGACACAATGGTAGAATTTATAAACACACATATTTATAACCATATATAAAAACCATATTGGTAAAATTTACTTAAAAAATTTCTAATTAAAATTTTTTTTTTCTTATTTTTTGCAAATTTTCTTTTTAAATGCGAACTTAGACGTTATTATAGGTACTTGTAGTGTAAAAAATTAAAAATTTTTATAATTTTTCTGAACATAACAAAATTATTTTTTTCTAATTTGAAGAAAACACAATAATTATGAAAATTTTTTATTTTATATTTTGTTTATTTCCATTTGTGTAAATTAAAATGTTTTCTAATGTTTGACTTTTTCCCTGCTTTGCTGCCAATTTATTTGAAAATTGGAATATTTTATTTTTGTTTAATCGCGCTGCTTCTTACTTCATTTTAACACTTTTTTTACTTATATTTTTTCTATTTGTTTCTTTATTTTAATATTATTAATATCTTTAATTGATTGTACTTATTAAATTTTATAAAATAGAAATTTTAAAATAAAATCTATGTATTTAAAATAATTTTAAAATTTCTTTCATAATGGTTGTCTACGATTCCCGTATACTGAAAAAAATGACTGCTTGAGAGTTTAAGAATTTAAGATGTCATTTGTTTTGAAAATAATTTTCTCGTAAAAGCAAAAAGAAAAAAAAAATTTATTTTCTTTTTTTATTTTGTTTTGTTTTGTTGGGATGAGTAAAAGAGAAAGCAATTAAATTTTGCATAAATGTATATTTATCTCTTTTTTTATGTGTTAATATTGTGGGAATTTATGTCATATTCACAATTCATATATTTGACATTTATTCTTATTGGAAAGAAATCACAATATTTAATGGATTAATGAAATGTTTGAAAAATTACAAAGTATTCACAATCGAGTTTTTCAACTGTGATTTGCAATCACATATGTGATTGTTGCTTATTTGTGATTGTTTTGTGTGGATGGGATTGTTTTTTCTATAATTATTTGATAAAGATCTGGGAGACTTTGTATATTATGTAATTGTGTCTAAATTTTAGCACATGAAAGTGTTAAGTTCTTAAAACTTTTTTTTTTCTTTGATTCAAAATATAAATTATGAATGGTGTCACAATTTTATTTGTTAATTTTCTTTTGCGGGTAATTTAATTTTTCGCTCACTTTTTAATAACAATTGTGGCATGCATACTTACAGTTCTATTTTGATATAATATTAAGTGCAGTTAAATAAATTGATGGTAAAAATTTTTAGTTAATTTTTATATAATGTTGCTCCCATTAACTCACTCTCGTTCATCAACCAAAACATTCAAAAATGTATACTCTGAACTTTTGTATTTTCTCCACTTTATTTGCATTTACATTATAATTATACATTGCATATATTTATGTACCTATTGAAAACTTTAAAAATTTCAAAAAACGACAAAAATATCAGGATATACATAATAGCTGTTAAAATAGACGATAAATTAAAAAATTTTACACAAAATTTTATTGAAAACTGTGTCACTCACATACGATTGCAGCAAGCAATTTCAAAATTAATGTTAATATATTCGTTAATAAATTTTCTTACGACTCATATCCGCCTTTTATGAAAAATTTTCTTCGCACTATGCCATGAATTCTTTCAATTATTTCCCGGATTTTCGCTCACTTCACGCTAGGTAACGTCGCTGAATTACTATTAAGCGAGAAATTTGCGTTATAGTATTTTTGAATACTAAAACGCTAAAAATGAATAAAAAACATTTTCAAATAGATATTTAATTAAATTTTAAAACATTATACTTATAATTTAAAACATTAAAGTTTTTATTCATTTATATGTAAGACATTGTTTATTGTTATAAATAAGTAATTCTGTTTGGACTGTTTTTGTATATAAAACTAAATTTGTATTTTTTACAACTATTGAAAAATCTTAAGTATAATGTCTAAGGTTACCTTAAGAACTAAGAATGAAAGTTAATAAATTTTTAAAAACATTTTAATTTAGGAACTTGGAAATAATTTTTTTGTAATACTAGATGTTTGTCTTTTTTAGCTTTTATAGTATTATACAAAAAATAACTTTTTATTGTAAAAATGTAATATATACATATATATAAATATTATTATTTATATGTTGCATGAATAATCTCAAATCCTCTAGGTTTCTTTTGATGATAGTAATTTATACTTTCGATATCTTTAAAATATCTAATAAATTTCCAACTAAAATGTAGTTGTAATTTTATAAAAGGATAAAAATCATTCTGTTATAAAACTTTTTAATAATTTTCCAGAAATAATACTGTAAATCGAGTTGGTGGAAATATCAAATATACATAAATAAACGCTGTACTTTTACTGGTATCGAAAATACATTTCCTATTTTATGTTTTTATGTGATAAAGAATATTCATTGAAAGTCATCCTGTCTCTTAATTTAATTAATCTTAACCTGTGATAACAAGATTTATTGCAAAAGAAATAAAATCACACATACATGCATTATAATTGTATATATATTCAAATGAATATGTAATTATGATATATTATGTATTTAGATTGTATATAGCGTACATGATATTTTTTATTATGAGTTCAATATGTATACATCAAATGTAAAGACAATTATAGGATTGCATATATATGGTCAATTTTTGTATAATCATACAAATATAAGACAATGCAGTTTAAGGTATATTAATCTTCTAAGTATTCACATAATATTTTCGTTTTGTTTGATTTTTGATAATAAAAGTAAATATAAAAATTTTTTTTTGCGCATGTTCTGTGAGAAAATTTTATACAAACATTTTTATTATATTAAAAAAACGACTTTATTTCCATATATTATGTATGTATATATAAAATTTAACTATGTCAAATTGACAAGTACCATTTATTAACTCTTCCTACAGGACATACATAATAATATTCGTCATACACATACAATACGATATTTAAAAAATTTTTTGATAAATTTTTTACTCCTTCAGAGTACTTTTAGCCTTGAACTTACTCGCACACACATCACGCGTCATAAATAAAAAAGGAAATAACTGTTTTGGGCGTGGGATAAAAAAAATTCTTTTTGTATATTATATTTTTTGTATTTTAAATTTTAAAATAAAAGAATAATTATAAAAAAAAAAATTAAATTTCAGGTAAATTAAATGAAAGTTTCCTTTTTCAACAATTATAATTTATATTTCATAGGAATAAATAACAAATTTGAAAAATTATTTGAGGTTTTCTCTATATTGGTAAAAAATTTGCTATATAGTATATACAAAACTTTTCAATGGCTGGAATTTTATAATTTATTTTATTCGTTTTTGTAAACATTCATAATAAATTAATATTATTTTTGTTTCTATGAATCATAAATTTTTGAATTTATTGTCTAATAATTTGTTAATTTCAATTTTAGATTACAATCTTTGCAAGTTAAAGAAATAAATAAAAAAAAAAAACAAACAGAAAAAAGAAAAGGAAGAGGAAAAACGAGAGGGTTATGGATTTAAAAGGAAGTGTTGCTTTAGTAACAGGTGCAGCTACTGGTCTAGGTAAAATATTTACAATGAATCATTGAAATTTGAAGTGGCTTGAAAAAATTTTTTTTGTTGTACGTTCAATTTTATGAAAACAAAGTGTGTTTTTTTTTCTTTAAATTTTTAACTTACTATATACGTATATACACATAATTATTAAATACAATTCTAATATTGTTAAATAAAATTAGAAAAGTAATTTTCTTTGCATAACAATATAATTTATAAATTATGGAATCAATGATAATAACAATTTGCATAATTAATTATATTTTTTAATTTTGTTTGTACTTAATCAATCAATAATTAAAAATTTTTCAAAATTTATTTTACTCGAAGCATACACATACACGTTACATATATTTAATCTACACATTATGATTATAAATTACAAATTTAATGTACATATATCTAAAATTGTGTATACTACATTATGCCATGTATAACCCAATAAAATGATAGCAAAAAACATTTAGGCATTGTTAATACAATTAAAAAAAATTAGAAAATCGATTTAAATTAAGTTCATTTCATCAAAAGTGTATATATTCAAAGATAAAAATCAAAATTTAGAAAAATTAAATGGTAGAAAAAAAATCCATTGTCAGTTGCTTTCTTCTTATAAAATTAAAGGCGCTTTTACATATGACACACATTTAAAAATTTTGCGTGTAAACATTTTCATTTTTGTTTTTTTATCATAAAATAGAAAAGAACGGATTTTTATCAAAGAAATATAATATAAATAATAGATTTTTTTTAATTAACATAATAATATTATATTTAACATTGTGTTTTTATTTTGTTGTTTTTTAGGTCGTTCATTATGTGAAGAGCTTTTAAAACGAGGTGCTTGTGTAAGTTATAAATCTTTAATATTCTTCAATATACATTCCAAAGCAAATATAATAATTAGTGCTATATAATGCGTGCTCTAAACACTTTAAAGGTGTGGATTTTCGTGATTCCATATTGATATTTCTTTTACTTAAAAGTGGTATTAATGTGATATTTTAACCTATATATTATATAAAATTACATAATAATTTTGTATAAAATTTTAGATTCAAAAAACAACTTAAGAATATTCTCCTTTATAATAAATATTTGTTTAATTTTCGGAAGATTAAACATATTCCACACATACACACCTTTATTTTAAAAAATTGCAGCAATACGGTATCAGATTATGCGTTATTTCACCGAATTAATTTCTTATTATCGTGATTTTGAAGTCAAAGATACTAAAAAATAGAAAAAAACTTCAATTCGAAATATTCAATTTGTGACAATTTGTTAAGATGTGTATTATATTACCGTCGTTTTTAATAACGCACATTATGGAGAGCTCAGATATTAATCAATACTTTCTAGATCAAAACGAGAAAAAATAGAGTTGACCGTGTCAATTCCCTGATACCAATACAAATTTGTTATCCTATGTGCGAGTAAATATGCTATATCTGACTGTCAGTACTATATATGTTTTGTAAGATACGGCCAAACTACTGCTAAGGTTGTACGGCAGCTACCACAAGGAGCTAAGCAATTTCAACGAATTTTATCAAGCACATTGGCCATACTAATAATTTTGCTTGTGCGAAACTTCAATACCACAGCTTTTATAGTTTCTTAGATATAGATAAATAAATTTGAAAATTGTATGGCAGGTACCAGTAACACGATCATAACCAATTTAACTTAGCTCAATTAGTTTTTGAGTTATGGTTGGGACGGAGGGACGGATGGACAGACAAACAGACAAAGCTAAATATAGATAAACAAAGTACGAGTATAATGAGCTTTTTTAATGCAATTTATGTATTCTTTATTTTAAGCTTTCGGATAAGCACATTTGTCGGATGACAAAAATGTTACGTTTACTGCTTTTATAATTGCTATGAACAAAAAATTGATGAGTTGGCCAATTATTTCATATAATGCCAGAAAATTTTTTTAAACAATTTTTCATTTCTTTTTAATTATTTCAAAGTAACATTTTCTGAATTATACAAGTTGACTTCTTAGAACTTTATAAAATGTCTGTCATTTCCCAAAAAATATTTAAAATGAAACAATTTCACTTAATTTGTGCATGTTTCACACGCATTTTATTAATAAGCTGATTTTCTTCTACATACATATGTATTAGTTTTCTTTTTGAAAATTAGATATGATAACAGAATAGTTTTCAAATATGTATGTAGGTTTCTATATGCGATTTGGATTCAGATGCTGGTGAAAATGCATGTGATGAATTGGGAAAAAAATTCGGCAAAGAAAAAGTTTTATTTTGTCATTGTGATGTTACTGATTATGTACAATTCGATGAAGCGTTTCAAACAACACTAGCTGAATTCGATAATATTGATATTGTTATAAATAATGCTGAAATAATGAATGATAAATTTTGGGAACTGGAAGTTGATGTTAATTTGAATGGAACAATTCGTGGTACATTGTTGGCATTACAATTTTTGGGAAAAGATAAAGTAAATTAATATTTATAATAAAGAAAATCTTAATAAATTTAATATACGTTAAATATATTTAATATAGGGTGGGAAAGGTGGTTGTATTATTAATATCGGTTCTGCAGCTAGTATTAAACCACAAATATCCACACCGATATATACAGCAACAAAACATGCTATTTTAGGACTCTCAAAATCATGTGGAGTAAGTTTTACTGAATATTTTATAATAATTTATTTTTTAGATTTAAAAACTAATTATGTGTATGTATTTTTTCTGATCTATTTATTTAGGATAACTATCATTTTAAGCATACAGGGGTAAAAGTTATAGCTGCATGTGTTGGACCATTGGATACTGGAGCTACAGCACCCAGTAATCGATTCAAATCACCGATTCATGAAAAAGCCTGGCAATTTGATATGAAAGGATTTGTACCACAAAAGTATATAAAATAATGAAAACCAATTTATTTGAAATTAATCATTAACATATTTTTTTTATTTTAAAATAAAAATTTTAGGACAGAACTTGCATCTAAAGGAATCGTTTCGTTAATTAAAGAAGCAAATAGTGGAACGATTTGGACTGTAACTAATAATTCAGCGCCAAAAGAAATACCATATTCTGCTGGAAGCATTTAAATTTAAAACTTTGTTAATTCTAAAATTTAAACATCGATTTGAAACAAATCATTTTAAAAATGCACCAAAAACTAAAAGAGCAAGCATAAAAACAAAAAGAAAGAGTGAAACTGCCAAAAAATTAAGGAAATATTTTTAAATTTTTGAAAATTTAATATTATGTATAGTTATATACTCATATTGAAATTTAAAAATTTAAAATTTTATATGGTGTCCAATTTAGACTAAACAGAAATCATGATTTTAAATTCAAAAATACAACAAAAATTAAATAAAATACAATATATCTAATCATATACTTTTTAAAGCAATTTAACTGTAAGCGCAATTGAGTATTTTATTGTTATACTAACATATATTTAAAAAATCGATTGCCTAAGTAATTTTTGCAACGAAATTAATCTGAACTATAAAAAAAATATAAGTATATGTATAAGTAATCGAAGCAATCACATTCAAAAAAGACTTCAAACCACTGAATTTAAAACAATAAAAAAACTGCAACGATTTTATAAATTTTTGTTAGAAATCTCAATTATGCTTACATGATAATCAAAATTTTATAAATTAATTTTATGTTGTTCAACACTATACATTACATAATATAATTAAATATTTAAATAACTACTCGGAATTGAAGATTTTACCTACATACATATATTTTAGAACTGAATTTCATTATTAAAACTAAAATGTTATAAATATGTGTATTCCTTAAATTTTTTATTTTTATAATATTGTTTTGTTAGAGGAATTTATTTACTATAATAGTAATATGTATTTAATTAAACTATTATATTAATTATAGTATTTATTACTGGTAAATTATAAGTAGAAATTAAATTAAATTTTATTTAAGAATTTATTAAGATAATTTAATTATCTTTTGATAAAAATCAATTTTTTTTCCGAAATATTTTTATTAAAAAAAATATGTCTAAAATTTATATTTATAATGAAATTTTAAAAATATTTTTTTAAAACTGATTATTGACTTTTAATTAATAATATTTTTATTGAAGTAAAAATGTTTGGAAACAAAGTCAAATCGGATATTTTTAAAATACATTTTCAATTCAACTTAAAATATTATGTTATAATAATACACTATTCATACGTACATACATTTAAAATATGCAAAAACTAATGTATACATTAAGTACCGTACATAGCTTAAAACAATTAATAATTTATTGTAATTTTTAAATAAATAAATTTTAAGTAATTAAGTTAAATAAAACTTTTCGACTGAAGATTTTGGACCAATATTGAATTGCAGTACCATAATCTATATATTACCTACTATATACATAATATGTATTTACGATTTATAATGATACCGTTAAATGTTAACTGTACTGATCTGAACTTATTAACTGTATTGACTTTGTTTCCATGTAAAATATAAAAGCAACGATAAATTAATACCAAAAAAAGGAAAATGAAGACACGTTAAATATTAAAAAGTGGAATAAAATCATAAAATAAAAAAAAACAAAAAAACTACTTTTCTGAATTTAAGGTTAAAAATTGTACACAAAATCATATGAATTTAAATACTTTACATATATTGTATACAATTTTATATATTTATTAAAAATATTTAAATATTTTTATCTACAATACATACATAATATAGTGAACTTTTTATACAATGTCATGCGAAATCTCATACATAAATATACACACATATAATATCTGATGCATATTCTTCTACAATCAAAATTAAATACCTAACCCTCTTCAATGTGTTCCTTTTTTTTATGCTAAATGTTATTAAAAATTTTAGTTTCTATTTGATTTTATTAATTTCATTTGATCATCTTACTCCATAATAATTAATTTGAAATTATTTTTTTGGTAAATATTTTGTTTTTACGTGCAATTGTGCTTAAATTAAATTGTATGAATATATGAATTATAATAACTAATGTAAAAATAAAACAGAAAGCATAGCTTCTTAAAAAATAGAAGTATATAGTTTTATTATTGTTACTGTTTAATTATTTTTTGTAAATTTAATAAACTTGTTATAATATAAGGATGCGAAACGTTCCTATTATAAAATTGTGCATAGCTAACGTTTAAAAACAATGAATTCGATTCGAGAATGGTTTGATTTTGACATAACTCCGAATGTGGAGCAAATTATTATCACTCATATTCTGTTATTAGTATCAGTTGGTGATGGATTGTAATTCAAAAATTTCTTTTTCAGAATAAAATCAATTTCGAAATCTAAAATTCTCTATACTGAACACTAAAATATTTTTAAATATCACCTAAGACCCTAATCACAATAACGCAGCAATCAAACTGCAAAATTTGACAACTACAAAAAAATATAGGTTTTGGATTATTAAATGGAATCACACACAATAAAACTGCAACCGCAAACTGCAACTACAAAATTAATTTATTTTCTATTTTTACAGTTACTGCCTGTCATATTTTGCTGATATTTTGACATCATCGTATATTATTTTTCTTATTGTATGTTGTTGCGGCCTTATGAAGTTACTGCGCTTTATAAAGTGTTGAAGCCAACATTTTTGCAATTATCAAAATTTGCAATTTTAAGGTACGGTACCGTTGTTTTTAGGGCACAAAAATACTCTCAAGCTATTGAAATACTACCTACATAGTTTTCATTTTCAGTAGCATGAATATTCAATTATGGTAAATTCAATTTAAGTATGAAAAACTGAAAATATGATTTCAGCTACTTTGAAAATTGTATTAGTAATGACAGCTTCACACTTCATAATATTAAAAACTATAGGAAAAATTCAATATTAGATAAAAAAAACATCCAACTAAAAATAGAATTCCATTGAAAATGATTGATGTTAAAAAGGCCCAATTGTTCTCAATTCTCAGTGTTTCATAAAACACGTACAAAAAAAAAAATTTCCCCGTAGATAAAATTGTTATCTTTCAATGTCTACGTTTATATTTTTGTCATGTAATTGTTCTATGAATTATGGGAATAGCAAAACAACTAGAAAAGTTTTAGTGGTTAAATAAACAATATGTTAAAATTTGTAATTACGATATATCTATCATGCTTTCCGCCGTTTCAATTTTCATTGGATACTGTCTAAGAATTATAAGAATGCTTCTTCTATAATTGGTAAATTAGAACCAATTGGTTTATCACTTTCGGTTAATTTTCAACTTTTTTGGCTGTTACAAAAAATAATATTTTGCATAATGCATAATATATCAAAGTTTGAAACGAACGAACGAAAATGTGAATTTCCTGAGAAAGATTGTTTTGACAATATTATTCTAGATCATTGCAGCCAACTTTAGTTAATATTAATTTATCGACCATGTTGGGTAGTGAAATTTTGCTGATAAAATAATTTTTCTTTTAATTTGGAAACAATTTATGCAAAAAAAATATATAAAAAATTTAACTAGAAAGAAATTTGTTTTTTATATTTCCCTGTGATAGTTTTATTTAGTTTTCACATTTTATAGGTACAAATTTAGCGAATTAAAAAAAGAAAAAATGCCAAGAGGTATGTATTCAATTTCCACCAGCGCAAATTATTTTTATACGTGTATGTTGTGTTCATAAGAAAAAATTTCTATTTTAAAATAAAGAATTTGATGACAAGATTTTTTACATATAACTGGTTGCGTTTGCATTTTCGTAAATTAGATTTTTTTTATATACAAGTAAATATTTGAAAATGTTAAAATTTATAACCTCAAAAGAATCTGTTTTGGGTGTGCTACTGGTTTAGAATTAAAAAGAAATAAACAAAAAATAACATGTTCAATTTATACACTTATAAATAGTTGAATGTTGCAAGTTATCCATAATTTATAAAAATTAAGTTCAAATGTAGTAAGAAGAGAACTTTAGAATTATTAGATTTAAATAATTAATAATTTTCAAAACAAATTTGTATTTTTAGGAAAATATGTCAATCATAAAGGACGTAGTCGTCATTTCACTAGTCCTGAAGAAATGGAAGAGGAGATGAAGAAAAAGTATGTATATTTCTTAAAATGAAGATTTTGAAGATTTTAGAGGATATAAAAATTTTTTGTGTGTAGGCACCGCTCTAAAGACGAATCAGATGAATCTGAAGAAGAATCCGCTTCAGGTAGTGAGGCAGAAGAAGATTCAGAGGATGAAGATCACAAAGCAAAGGGGGTTGAAAGTTTGATAGAAATTGAAAATCCAAATCGTGCGCCACGTAAACAAGCACAAAAAGTTTCAGCTGTTAATGTAGATAAAGCAAATAAACCAGAATTATCAAGACGCGAACGGGAAGAAATAGAAAAGCAAAGAACACAGGCTCATTATCAAAAACTGCATGCTGAAGGAAAGACAGAACAAGCTAGGGCTGATTTAGCGCGTTTGGCTATAATTAAACAGCATAGAGCTGAAGCAGCAGCAAGGCGTGAAGCTGAAAAAAAGGCTAAAGAAGAAAAGAAAAAGGCTTCAACGTCAAAATGATCTTAAATTAATGATAAATAAACAAAAAATTAAATTAAAATTTTTGATCAGCCAGCTTTTTTGATAGTATATTAAACTAAATACGAAAAAAGTAAAATTGTTTTCAAAATTGATCACTACCAATACTTGAAAAATTAATTTTATAAGAATAAGCAAATTTTTTTTATATAGAATCAAAAGATAAAGAATATTTTAAACAGCTTGAAAGAGTTTAAAAAAATCAAAATACGTACACACACAGATATAAAAACGTGCATAAGATTCCTTATTATGAATACATAAAGAAAAGATTGTTTAAACTTTAATCAAAATTGTAATTTGATTCATTTTACTTTGTGTTTTTGAAATAAAAAGGAAATATTTTGCAGATTTTTTAAACTGTAAATTGTATTTTTAAATATCTTAAAATATCTTATTTTTATTGAATGTTAATATGAGAGTTTTTCAAAGGTTTAACAGGAATTTTATTTAAAAAAATTCATATTTTCCCTGAATTTAAAATTGCCGTAATTAAATTAATTAATACAACCGTAGCTAAAATATTGTTGAATAGATTTGCACAACAGAACGGTGGGACTTTTCTTAAAAAGAATCGCAAGGTGATAGTATCATTTATAGTAAAAATCTTAAACAAGTTATTAAGAAAATTTGTTGGAAAATGCAGAATATTAAGACAAGACATAAATTTTTGTATAAATTTGTTTGTGTTTACAGTAATAATAGGGAAATATTTACGATAAAAACCAGTATCTCCATTGATAATATCCCAGATGTGCAAACTAAGTTCATATTATACCAAAGGAAGTTGCTATAAATTTATTAATATTGGCCTAAAAAAGTTTTGTTTCTTTTATTAGTTACTGTTTACATAAACGACTAAATTTGCGATTTAGCCTGAGTGTGATGAAAGTCGTAACGGTAAACAATAGAAATTACTCTATTTTCCTCAGACTAACTGTCAAATTTTTTAAAGGTAAATTAGCGATAAATAATTTGTTGTAGAAGTTGTAAATAGTCATCAGCTGATTTTTATTTTAGTTGTCATTTTTATAGCACAATTACTAAGGTTTGACGTTGAGTTTGATGGTCATCAGAAAAATTCAGTCTGGAAGTACATTAAAAGCAGTAAGCCAAAGAAATGAGTATTAGGTCTGTCTATTATAAGAAAGTTTTAAAAACTTTTAAAAATTTTACAAAGTTTTTGCATGCAAAGCGCCTGGGATAATACTTTTTGAACAAAAATGAGAGAAAATAATGACATTCTCATTTTCTCAATATTTAAAGTTTTGTAAAGTAAAATTTAATGTTTCAAAAACTTTTAAAATCTTACAGCTATAGAAACACATGTTTTTCTTGGTTGTGTCAGAAGGTTTTATTTTTGAGAAAAAAATTTTTCATCAACAATCATTTTTTTTCAAAACTTTTCAATTAAAAGTAAAATAAAATAACCAGTATGGGTTCACAAATGGCTTTTTCTAAGTTTCACACTTTCATAATCAAAAATTAAAATTTTCAAAAATTTTTTCAACCGAAATGAACGCAAAGAACAAAGTATAAGCTCTAAAATTTCAAACAATATGCACTAGTCTATTTTGGCCATACAAATTACATGACAAAATTACATACAATATATCAAACTTACGTCTTTGATCAGTTTCAACGTGTTCTTAACATTTCTATTCTTGCTAGTACTTTTGTAGATAATCTTAAATTTTATATATAAACAGAACCTTCCACATAGAAAATCACAAGGAGAAAGTTTTTGTATGCTATTATTTTGCCTGTCATTGAAATCTAAAACTGAAAACACAGGACACAAAATAATAACAAACACAGGAGAGTAACCTTCATTTAACCATTTAAATTAATTAATCTTAACCTTATGCGACCGATCTTGTAAAATTTTTTAGTCTTTTAGACGGATTTGTTCTTTGATACTGAAATCCAAATCTATCCCTGCGTATATTTACACATTTTGTGTTTTCTTTTATACTTTTAATCGAATTATTTCAGCCCTGTCAAGGCTCAGCTGATTGATTATTTCTTTTTTCAAGTCATTGTCATTGTAAAATTTGTAAATTATAAGAGATGTTAAAAAGTTAGAAAATTTCTTTAATTTGTGTATGTAGTATTGAGTATAAAATTTTCATATTTTCCATTAAAATATTATTAAATATAGTTTAAAGAGGAGGAAAAATAAAGAAGTAGAAATAATGTACAGTTTTGATGGTGATTTTAGACGTAGACCAATACAAAACTTGGGTGGTAAAACTACAACATCTGACCGAGATGAAGTTATACGTAAGGTAATTAAAAGAAATTGTACGACGAAATTTCTCATACATGTTTCCAAATAAAATATTGTAAATTTTTAAGATTGTTATTAAATTGGTTGCATAACTTTTGAATCGATAATGTTATATATTATTTTAGGCTCAAGTCGAACGAGAAAAACGTAATTTATTAAGACAACAAAACAATGGGGCTATTATATTACAATCGTATTCTCGAAGTTTCTTGCATCGACAAAGGAAAAAACGTCTAGAACGAGAAAAATTTGATGAATTTCTGAAGGAAAATAATCATTTATTACAAAATGAAAATAATTTAAGTGTTGCATTAAGACGTTTGATATTTTTTTATTCCCCTGATAAAGACTGTAATCGACTAGTTGAAGTATGTCAACAAATTATTAAAAATCCAGACAGAATAATTGTGAACGCAGTAACGGATTCTATTTGGTTACATCGAATAAAAAAACTGCTTAATTTATGTTTAACTCAATTGGGTGTGCAAAATTCAAATCAAACAATACCATTAAGAACTTTAGAAACATTTGCATCAGGAAATTATATCATAAAGTATATGCAAAAAGAAACAAATTTAGAGGACAATGATAAAATATCAGAGTTGAGAGAAAAGTTTTTGAAGAGCTTATTTGATTATTTAATCCAGAACGGAAATTATTTCAAACGAATACGTATAATTTTAGAAAATAAATGCCCCCCATTGGATGGCGAAACAACACAGCCCCCAAATCAATTATGCCGAGCTCTTTTCGAAATGATTTTGTGGCCAATGCAATTAGTTAAAAATAATGAACACATGTATTGTGAATCATTTGCAAAATATATTTTAAGTCCAGAATTTAGTGAACCCATACGGTATTTTATACTTCCCAGTTTGGCGACAAGAAGAGATTTTCCATTTAGTCAACTAATAAATTGTTTAGGTTCCAAACTTTGTAATCGAAATTTGCAAAAAATGGATATTGATGATCAGGAATTATTTACCCACAGCAATAATAATAATACTAAATTTGTGAAGAATGAATCCAATACGGAGCTCTTTTCTTCATTTCTCCTAAATTCAATATTTATTTTAGATACGGATGTATTAGGTAAATATAAATTATGGCTTGATTATTTAGATTTTTACCCTGATTGTTTTTGGTTCCAGATCAATTAGGTAAGGACGGTATATCTCTGGGAAACTATATCAAAATTATTTCAACTATCTCACCAAAAATTTTGAATTTACCTAAATCGACTTTAAAGCAGAATACAATTGATGACTTGGATGACGATGGTGTGTCAGATGATTCTGATTGCGAGATGGCTGTTTTAAAATCAAATCCACCTCTGATATCTTCAATTGAAACTAAAACTTTATTGGAAATCGTAAATTATCTCAACAGTACAGCCCGAGTTAAATTAATTTGCGAGAATGTAAATAAATTTATAGCAGATCCGGAAATTTTATACTCACTTTGTAAACTTTGCCACAACTTGATGGTGTACAACAAGAATGCTATAATGATTTACGAACTTCTTTATAATTTAGCTTTCATGCCTGAATTTATACGAGCTATTTGGTATACTTTAGCATCACAATCAGCAAAACAAGGTTTTTCCTCTCCTCTGATATTAATATCGAAAGGGATGGTACCAAAATCCGAAATAGAAATTAATCGTACAATTGCATTTTTAGCAACATTTTGCGCTCTTTTTGGCCGTCTTTTACCAACTAGGCACGATGGGGAATTTAAAAGAGAGCACTCTTTTCAACAGGATTGTTATCAAGGTAAAAGTGATAAATTAATGCCGTTTTCGATTGAAGAAATCGTCCAACTAAGTAAGACATTGAAGGAAATATCGCTCGGTTTAGTTGAATTGGCATTTCCAGAGACAAGATCTGCGCTTAATGAACATTATAGATCAGTTTTGGGGCGCAGCCATTCTGATGATGAGAAAATAAAGCAGAAGAAACAAGTTTGGACAAACTTACTTAATGTTGTTGTAACGGTTTTAAATCAAATTCATGCTCGAGATCTGCGGATGTCATTTTGTCCTGAAAATCATTGGACAGTTTTGACTTTAAATTTGCCATTGGATAAGCCAACAGATTTACCGTTAACAAGAGCGAGCAGAATGCGAGGCATAAGACCTTTTCAGCCGATCAGAGACTTTACTAGAGAAGATTTTGAAAATAACGATGGACCTCCCATATCCACTAAACAAATTAGATCAATTACTATACTAAGAGAAATTCCATTTGTTGTACCGTTTAATCAGAGAGTTAGTATTTTACAAGGTCTGATCGCTGCTGATAAAATTAGAGTTCAAGGTAATCTACAAGGGTTTTTACATGGCCCTTCAATATTATTGACCGTTAGAAGATCACATTTATATGAAGACGCGTATGATAAATTAAGACCAGAGAACGGTATGTTTGTTTTCTGTAAATTTTTATATTTCACATTTAAAAATTCTACATTTTTAGAACCTGATTTGCGACATAAGTTTCGTGTTCAGTTTACTAATAGCCTTGGTTTGAGTGAAGTTGGTATTGATGGTGGTGGACTATTTAGAGAATTTCTGTCTGAACTCATAAAAACAGCGTTTGATCCGAATCGAGGATTTTTCATGATAACCACCGATAATAGATTATATCCAAATCCTGGTGTTGCTGATATTGTTTCGGATTTTGAGAAACATTATTATTTTATGGGGCGTATATTAGGAAAAGCAATTTATGAAAATCTTCTGGTAGAGCTTCCTTTAGCTGAATTTTTCTTATCAAAATTGGCTGGAAAATATTCCGATGTTGACGTACATCAGTTAGCCTCCTTAGATCCTGAATTGTATAAAAATTTATTATCTCTTAAAGAATATGATGGGGATGTTTCAGAATTAGGGTTAGATTTTACTGTTGTTAGCAATGATCTGGGTAAAACTGAAATCAAAGATTTAAAACCTAATGGGAAAGATATAATTGTTAATTCTTCTAACAAAATTGAATACATACAATTGATGGCAGATTATAAGTTGAATAAACAAATTAGACAACATTGCGTAGCATTTCGGAAAGGTTTGTCTAATGTACTTCCGGTTGAGTGGCTATACATGTTTAGTAATAAAGAACTGCAAATATTAATATCTGGTGCGGAGATACCAATAGATAGCGAAGATTTACAAAAGCACTGCAAATATGGCGGTGAATATAGTCCAGATCACCCAACAATACAATGCTTTTGGAAAGTATTCGATGAATTTACTGATACACAGAGAAGACAACTACTAAAATTTGTAACGAGTTGCTCTAGGCCACCATTGCTGGGTTTCAAAGATTTAGATCCACCGTTTTTAATACAAAATGCTGGCAATGAAGAAAGGTTACCAACAGCAAGTACTTGTACTAATTTATTAAAATTACCTGCATTCAAAACTATCGAACAAATGCGTGAAAAGTTATTGTATGCAATACAAGCTGAGGCTGGATTTGATCTTAGTTAAAAACAATAATTATAAGAAGATTTTTTAACTTAATATACTTATGTATGTGTTTATGTATTAATGCATATGATATGTACATACATATAAAATATGAAAGGTTGGAAAATATTAAAATAAACCTATATTTAAATAAGAATATACGAATGAAAGAAAATTAAGGTCTCTGTATTTCTTTCCAAAACTAAACTAAGATAAAATTGAAATATAGATTAAGTTGTTTACATCAAAAATAATAGTTGGATTTATTTCATATAATTTTCATTTAAGTGATTTAATACCGTTGAAATGGGGAAATAAGTAAATATCTATGTAAGTATATCTATGTAAGTATAGAACTTTCAAAATCGATTGAGTATTTTTAATTGCAATTTTTTCAATTTGCTCATTCTCAAAACTTGTGTCGGAGGTTATGTGGACGTAATATTTAAACGTATAAAATATTAAATTAAAATAGATATTAAATTTGAAAATATTTTTAAGTTGTTCATATTTTATATACATAGATAAATAAGTATGAAAATAGTTTTTAATAATCATTCTACACATAATTTCAGCAAATAGTTTGCTCTGAAGCAATAATTACAAATTAAATAAATTGAAAAAAAAAATCTAATATGCAAAATTTTTAAATGGCTGAGAAGTTATAACGAATTTTACGTTTCTTTGTATTGTATAAAATAATAGAAATGATCTGTGTAAAATAAATGTATAAAACTACTGTAATTAAAAATTACAGTAATTACTGTAAAAAATTAAATTTCATGGTACTTAATGCTTATTAGAAATAACTTTATTTGAAAATTAGAATTCAATTATAAAAATAAAAAACTCTTTTTCGTTATAATGAAATACCCAATTAATTAAACATTTCCGATTCTCTTTAATGCATCTTTCGCGGCTAATGCCATTTGCCATTCATTTGAACCATCAGGTTCTAACGATAAAATTTTATAACTTTCTTCAAGTAATTCAATAACTTTTTTCAAGCGCTTTCTTAATTCTCCAGTATTAATTAACTTCATTTCGAATTTTTTCGTCGTTTGAATCATAATTGGAGCATGCAACTCATACATTATTACTCCTAAAAATTAATTTTCGAAAATTAAAAGAGTGAATCTGTTTTTTAATGTTATATTATTATTATATTACCTCTTAGTCTTGATAACCCTGGTTCTAAAATATCAACAATTCTTAACACATCTCTACAATATTGTTCTTTTCTCTCAAGAAGTTGCATTGGCATTTCATGAATTAAGTAACCTTCACTTCTACCATAAAGTTGACACAATGAGTATTTTGCTGATACATTTAAATAATGATCCTTTGTTAAAACATTACAATATCTAAGAAATACGTTATCATTTTTTAAAGTTGTAGTTTTTATTAATTTTGTGTTGATTTATAAAATATTACTTGTTTAAAAAATCTTCGTAAGCTAATATGTCATGTGGATCTAGTTTATCTAATTCTTTAAATAATTTTTCCAGCATAGCACTAACTGACTTTCCACTTGCTGAATAATCGCATTTGTTACAGCTAGTGAACAAATTGTTTTTAATTAAATTGCATTTTATAGTTAAAAATAAGGTATTTAAAATAATTAATTTGAACTTACTTCCAATCAGCATGCTGTTCTAGTGGGTTTTCTGTCAAAACAGTACCGTTTTTACATTTCGGACATTTTAAAGCACTTGCATATGTTCCCAATTCTGTTGGATCTTTACAACGATCGCAGCAGCACCAAAAGAATTTCCCTTCTTGCAAATGTTCACGTCTTCTCAATGTGCCCTGGTTAATCACGGTTAAAATAAAATCATTAATTAAAACGAGAAAAAAGTTTAATTAAAATTTGAAAACATTTGGATGTACGTAATGAACATACCCATGTACATATGTACATGATATCCAAAATCAAGCAAAAATTAAAAAAAAAATAGATATTTACATAGTATGTACATATGTGTATATTATGTATATGTATGTATGTAATTTTAAGAAAAATTTTTAATTTTTTTACTAAACTTAAAGAAATTTAAACAAAGCTCGAGAAAGAATATATCTGGAAAATTATTATTGTGCAAAAAGGTAGATGACAAGAAATAAGCCAAAATTCGCAAAATACCAGCCTATTCTAAATATTTTCCTTTATTGGGAAAATTTCTCAAAATGCTAAAGAACTTGAGATGTTATTATGAGACTTTCATAACTTCTTTAAGATTCTAACTAGGTGTTAGTTCCAAACAAAAATTTTATCCATTTTTGATATTCTAAACTTACTTGAAAAGTGTAAGCGTAACTTAGTGTTATTGGATCACCTCGGCTTAAAGATTGTGTTACACGAATTGTTAAAGCAAAATTTTGTGGATTATCTGTATGTGTGGTGTTTGGTTTACAGTCATGTGATAATAAAAACGCTGAAGGATATGTTGCTCTTGCTTTTGCTCCCAACTGACCAATTTCAAAACAATTAACTTCAATAACACCACAAATTGTATGAATTTCATCTTCTGTAAAATCATTAATTTTCCATGAAAGTTTTAGTTGATTTACAATAACTTCCTGATTTCGATTCCATAATGACGGAATTTTTTTTCGGATATCATTATGATGTTCCATTTTTTGAAGAGTTTTCCATTTTTCAACATTCCATAATTTAAGTAATAAACATCTTAATGGTAATATTACTTCATAAAGAAAACGTACATCCTTTCCTTTACACGCATAAACGAGATCAGCAATATTTTTTTCTTTATATAGCTTACATTCAAATTTATTATGGCCATTATCGTGATAAATTCCAGGACATTCTGCACTGCAAAGTGGCCATCTACATCCGGGGCACCTAAAAATAAATAAATGATAATATTATATTAAACTGTTACGTAAAGAGAAGAATATTAATTTTCTGATAAAATTGTTTTATGGCATTGTAATAATAATTGGCGTTATTGTTACATTGAAGTAAGCTTTAAGATAATCTTATAATGAAAAATATTTATAAAATCTCAGTTTACAGAAGTTGAGTATAAAAACATCAATGCAATGAATGCAGTGTTCTCATTATCACTTTGTGATTTCGGTTTTCACAATGATTTAAACTCGTTTTTTTTAAATAATTTTTCACATCGCTTTTCTCTTAGAAGTCTAATGGTAGGCATCGTAGATACCGAACATTTTAAGAATTTTTTCAAAATAATTATGGTTTTTGTTGGAATAAATTATCACAAATTCAATCAGCTCAAATTTAGAAAAATTTCCATTTTCGGAAACTGTAGCCATTGGTTTGGCTATTTTTGAAATCAAAATTTTGGGAAACATTTTTAAAAAACTATAATGAATTCTAATTTATTTTACACTTACTTAAATTGCGAATCTAAAAATGGAAATTCAATTGGATGATAACAACCTAAACAAACTGGATCTGAATCGGAACAAGGTCCAACAGCTAATGGCTCTTCTTGAATTATTAATTCACCAGGATTAAGATGTCTTGATGCTACTAAATAACGTCCCATAATATCAGAGAATTTTATTTCATATGGCAGCTGAGATTTTGCTACTATTTTTGTATTCATCTGTTGGATTTCATCATCTGAATCATCACTTGATTGATTAGGTGAAAGAGGTGATTTTGTTCTGGAATTATTATTAACTCCGTTATTGTTGTTATTATCATTATGCGGACGTTTCTTTTTATGTTGCTTCTGAAAGAGAAACGAAAATAAAGAAAAATTAAAAAAGAAAAACAAAAAATTTAGTTTTATTGAAACAAATCAGTGGAAATTTTGAAATTATTGCTGACTGTTTACTTGTAAAACGGAAGTAATCTTAAAGAATTTTTTGTATAATTTTTTTACAGTTTTGTAAGATTTTGTGATTTTCACATGTTCCGTATTTAGTTTCTCTTTATACAGGTAAAATTTTAGTTTTCAGTATCTTTTTGTATTTTTTACGTAAAATTTTATATTGTATAACAATAAAATTACTACCGTTTTAAAGCTGTTGTAAAGCTAACATTTTAATAATGTTATTGTTAAACCAATGTGCTCAAATACACACATATGTATGTATTTAAGTGTGTTCATCACAAGCCGCCACAAGTTTTTAATTTTTAAGAATTTCTTAAGCTTACTCAAGTCAAGAAAACATTTAATATTTAAACGATTATACAGAATTTGTATAGTAAATTTGTATGACTTTAATGGTAATATAGACATACAGTGCTATACTATTTTAATTAACACTTTGAACTCCAATGAATCTTCAGGAAACATTTTTAATGCAGCAATTTTTTTTAAAGGTCTATAACTTTAAGATAAATTTAATTACTGCCAAAGAGAAAAAAACCGAATATTTTTAATCTTTTTTAATAAATTTAGGAAATAAAGCTAGACTTCAGGGGGGCTTAACGAAAGCTCTTTTTGTGTTCTCTGCGGTAAGAGTTTAAGCTAATAAATTGGATTTGCTAAAACTAATTGGTGTTACAATTGGAGTAATGTGTATGTTCCTTTTGAGTTCATCTGTGAGGATGAGACTGAAAGTGTTAAGGTTCATGAAAAACGGTAAAAACCCTCTTAATTATTTATTTAAAATAACATAGATATAAGTAGTCAAAATTCTATTATTTTAATAATAAAAATTTAGAATATAAGACAAGTTTTCCTATGAAATTCATTCGTGCAATGCATAAAAAATAAAAGTGTGTTTGCAAATGCAATACACACTACTTACATATATATCTGCATACATACATATGTTGCACTGCAATCTTTAAAAATTTCTTTTATAAATTTTTCTTTTTTTTTCATTTTTAACAAAATGTTTGAATACTATCAAGTTCAATTATGTTTATACTTGAATAACACACTACATGGTTGGCAAACCTTTTTAACTCTCTGTGTCACAAAAAATTGTTATACTCAAATAGTAATATAAAGGTAATTAATTAATTAATTGAAATTTATTAAAAATGGAACTAAAATTGTTATTTGTTTATATCATATTAGTATGTATCTGTATGTATATTATATAAATATATACACAAAATATACATACAATAACCTATGTTTGTATCTATGTAATAACTATATGGTTTGTAACTATAATTATATCGTTATGATTAATAGAGAAAATTTCACTTTTCTTAAAATTTCTTGCATTATTTGCTTCTGACTTTTGTGTAATGAGTTTCTTCCTCCTGATATGTTATAGGTATAGATTTATATTTAAACTTAATGTACATACATAAAATTGTAAATAAATATTGCGAATAAAAGTGTGATATTATACCTATAAACAATTTTTATTTGAATAATGAATGAGTGGGTTTTTTCTCTCTCGAAATGAAAGTATATGAACTTGCTTTAATATTTTCTTTATTGAACAAATTTGAAATGTGAAAACATAACCCTGAAATTTGAGTACTATTAATGAATAAGAGAAGGTCATGGATTATACATGTAACATGATATATAATATTTAAATTCTTTGCGAGTACTATGTGTTATATCTGTGTCATATATGTATATATACATATAGTACACTTAATAAACAATATGAGAAGCTTTTCGCTATGGGAAATTGAAGGTTGAAGGACTTTTATCCGGTAAAATGTTTACATTTTTATGTATGTACTGAATTTCTTATTTTCTCCTTATATTTTGTAAATAAAGAATAATTTTAATTGTTTTTATGTCTGTTTTATAAATTAGGTCAAATAATTAATATATCACTTTTATTATATTTATTTATAAAATAAACTGCAACTTAACAAATTATGTTTATTGCCCAATTTAAATATTATTGAATTTTTAGTTCATAATTTGCGTTTATTTGTTTTCTTTTTTTAATTTATTTATCAATTAAAAATGAGATGATGAGCTCATTTAAGTATTTTACGATTATGTTATAAGAAAAATTTATATTTTAGGATTATTTATATAGAAATTTTCATTCCATGTTGCTTTTTTAAATATTTTCTATTCTACATGTGAAGCATTTTTCGTGGGCATAGTATTCGCTTTTCTTTACAAAATAAATAATTTTTAAAATTTGTTATCTAAGTTTGACATTAGAAATGTTTGCGGGTAGAATTAAATTAATAACCAACCGCAGGTGTGAAAGATATTAATGTAACATGAGATATAAATAGGTTTTTAAATGTATTATCACTGTCTAATAATTGAAGCTAATTGCCTCAATTCTACATTTTTTGACAATTTTATATTAATAATTTTTTTTTTAAATAAATTAATTTTTGGTGTTTACTCTGGCGTATATTGCCAGAAGGCAATGTACAATAATTGTTTCCACATCATTTAAGGCAGAAAACTAAAATTTTAAATTCAAATGAATATTTTTCCGAGAAATCTCTATATAAGTTATGGACTTCCAAAGTCTTTAACAACTTATTATAACAAAAACACAAGTACTTATGTTTTATAAATTCAAAAAATACAAACGCAAACAAATTACAACTTGTTTATTTAATTGTAGAACAGCAAAGGCAAGCATTGTGACAAAATAGTTTTTGAAATTGGTTTTTGTGTCAGAGTAGACGGTTAGTTGATAAAAAAATGTTTCTTTTAGAAGCTGTAATTATATAATTTCATAATTGTGGTAAATTAATGAAAATAAATATTGAAGATGGTCATCTTAAAAAGTATCTCAACTTTATCAGAGAAAATGTGCTACTTTAGAAAACATTTTCTTGATCAAAATTTATTTAATTTTTTAGATCGACAAATTTTCAATTAAAGATTTTTGGAATTTTAATTTGGTGCGAAGCGTGGTACTCTTTTTATATCTGCATGTTGTGTTTGTATGTGTGAATTTAAATTAAAAAAGAATTTGACTTAAAATGTCGAATTATTCAATATGTCAAAAATAGTGGAAAAATCATAAACAAACTATGAATTTAACAAAAACAAAAAAAAAAATACTTCAAACCATTTTCATATGCTTGTTCTTTTTATCGTCTTGTTAAATAAATCCGCGAAAAGAAAATATTGATTTTTAATTAATTTAACTGTCAAAATAAACACATAATATTAATATTTTCATTTAAATTTTAGTTAAATATTTTTAGATTTTATATGAAGTTCTAAATAAAACCATATTGGAAAATATGTACTGAAATTAGAAATTTATATTTTAATAGTTTCGTAAGCAATATCGGGATTCCAAACAATGTTGGGCAATATTTAGATATCAATTATTGTTCCGGGATTTTGCTTAAGAATGAAAAAAACAAATGTCGAAATTGCGTGTACGCATACATTAAATTTAGTACGCATATGTTAAATTTTCTAATATTTCTATGACAATTTTTTATTTTAATCAATCAAGTAGACTTGACTAGAAATAGTAGACTCGTATTGTAAAAACTATAAATTTATTTCTAAAATTTCATATGCAATTACCATTTACTTCATCTCTGAATACTTGCTGCGGTAAATGTTTCAATATTAACACAACTTCGCATTCATTCTAATAATTATACTCGTATTTACTCTTTACTGTACGAATATTCATTTAGGTCTGGGCACTTTTTTATAAACGGCTGGATTACGGCTGGAACCAATACTCTTTACTGTACGAATATTCATTTAGGTCTGGGCACTTTTTTATAAACGGCTGGATTACGGCTGGAACCAATATTCAAATGGAAGCGATAATTTTTTTTTTTTCAAAGTGTTCATTGTAATTTATTGTTATATTTAAATATGCTAAATAAATTATTTTAAAAATTTGTTTATGACCATACTCCACTTAAAGTCACATGATCATTTTAATTGAAATTTGTATATGTATAATTAATTATAAAATTTTTTTACTGATTACTCAATAAATTTTTAATAAAAATTCAAACAAACATTGAATCCACAGTTGACTATGGTTAAATGAAAAAAAAATCACAAAATTAAGTTTAAAATAAATTTGGCCGAATCAAAAAGTAATATAAGACTCTGTAGCAAACCATTTTGAAATTCATTGACCTCAAGCAACAGAAACAATTTATGTATTGTGTGAGATGTGGAAACACTTTTTTTCATCGTTGGACCTAATCAGTTTTTGATAATTTTTTTAATTAAAAGAACATGGACCCAAATATATTTAATACACATGTGTTTGATTTCAGAATTAAAAATTTTTTTTTAGATTTTTGCTCTTCGTAGTTAGTACGTCTTAATTTTGTATACCTATACATATGTATTTTGTATACGTATTGCACTTAAAGAGAATTAAAAGATGTGGTATGCTTAGTTTATATTTAATTTAATTTTAAATTTTATTTTATTTATTAAAAATTTTTTCTTCCAATAAATTTTGTAACAACAGTATAAAGCTAAATCATGTATTTTTCTTCAGGTTCTTTTCTTATATGAATTTTATTACGAAATTTAAGTATCAATCCAAAGAATGTAGTGTTAAAGCCATTCTTTGATATCGGAGAAATAGGAAAGTCTAAAAGATGGGCTTAAGATAATGCGATCCAACTGCATGGTTAATTTGGTGTGTTAAAACAAATAATATTCTTATATCTCTTCTACTTTCAGTTTTTGTTTTTATAGAATTTCAAAGAAGCTTACAGTTTCAAAAATAAAAGAATCCGCAAATTGAAATTTTATTAATTTTGAGAGATGATTACTAGGAAGAACGTGGAAAAAAATCATATTTCAACAGATTCAATTATGTATTAATT